TCAAATGCATGCTGCGAGATAACAGATTCCTCGCAGGCTCTAGCCTCCGAGCGTCCCCCGGTCGACTATCTCTTACATCATCTCGCGTTAATAGAATGTGCTCACTGGCCACGCAGCCGATCGTCGCGTGTTTTCGTCCTTGTCATCGAGGAAAAAGAAAACGCCACACGATTGCGCTGCGCTGCGCGTTGAAGGTGCACGAGAAAACGCGAATTCTGCGCGCAATCGACGAATCGGCGGATAATTTTGCGCTCGAAGCACGCGACAGACACGTGGGGTTTGTTCCTTCTCGAAGAACTTTTCAACCAGAGTGCAATAAATTGGAATGAGACAGACATATTTTCTCTCGCTCTAACTTACCGCTTGCTAATTCAGAAGTTTCTCGAAAAAGAAGTGACCTTTTATTCGCGAGCCTTTTCGGGGACGAAGGTAGAGGGCTGGCTGGCGAGGGGTGCGAGCACGAGAAATCCCCCTCTCCCGTTCGATCGTGATTTTCAGGTCAGCAATCACGGTCTCTTTGCGGCACGCCGGAAAGGAACGTTCTCGCGCGGAATCGAAAATGAGCTTCTGACGCGCGACAGGAGTCGTTGCTCTCTCTCTCTCTCTCTCTCTCTCTCTCTCTCTCTCTCTCCCTCTCTCTCTCTTTCGGTGGAGAATATCGCAACGTCGATCTCCCGCACGCACGGTGATTCGACTTCACGTTCATTAACAAACGCGTCATTTGCGCGGAGAGAGTCTCTCGTCAGCCAGAGGACATCAACGTGTGTGTGTGTGTGTGTGTGTGTGTCACCGTCGTACTCTTGACCCTGACTGTCTTCCCCGAGTCACCCACTTCCCGATTTAGCGCTTGTACTTACGACACCAGTCTCCGTACGAAATCCGAGCGTCTCTACTATTTCGGAACCCGTCGCGGTCTATTCTCGTCGCCGATGAAAGAACGAGAGAGAGAGAGAGAGAGAGAAAGAGCGCAGGGGGCGACTGAAATAAAATACGGCCGCGGATCGACCTTCTTTATCGAGAGAGCGCGGCGCACAGCTGTCACCATGCCGTCGCTGTTGTGTCACACAGAGTGAATCTCGCCGTGTTGCGAGATTGCGCACACCTCACACGTGTGTATTCGTCAACATGTCCATAAGGAAGTCGCCGCGAGGAAGGAATTCTCCCGTCGGAAGACGGAATCGAAGGGAACAAGCCGGAACCGCACGCGAGCCTCGCTCGCCATCGGCGGAATTTTCTCCTCGTGAAAATTCCCCGGATCGTTAAGAAGACGGCAACTGCGGCCTGCATCTTCTCCCTTTCCCCGTTCCCTTCGTCACCCCATCCGCCGCTGCCGCTGCCGCCGCCGCCGCCGCCCCTCCTTTCCTGTTCCTGCGAGAGAACGACGAGTGACCCGGAAATTCCCGCACGCTAACAAAGTGGATATTGGATATGCTTCTCTCCGCATAGAGTGGGGGAGAGAGGGGGGAGAGAGAGAGAGAGAGGAGGAGGAGGAGAAGGGGAAGAAAAAATCAAAGGCGAATTTCTCTCGCGCTTGTCTCGATCGTCGAGAAATGTTTCATCCCGGCGATCGTTTTCATCGTACACTACATCGTAGAAAGATTCAGACACTCGCGGCGACTCATCCCTCACGACACAGGTAGGCATAGGTAGATTTCCACGTGAAATGCATAGGTGGGCTAACGCGTGTCACGGGTTGTCACCGGGAGGAAGGCGTGTACGCGTTCTGCCAAAAAAAAGGCTGCTGGCGCGAGGCGCTCGCGAGGAGGCGATCGGCAGGACGTCGCGCGAGCGCGCGCGCGCGCTCGCGTATCAGCTCAGCCGCGCGAAGCGGCAAAATAATACACCAGTGCCCTACAAAAGGGTCGAAGCGACGGCGTTCGTGACGAGCGACAAACGCCGTCGCGGGGGGCAGGCGACGGCGTTACGCACGGAATTCTCGATTCTTATTGCGGCCGCGTATCGGCTCCATCGACGTCACCCACCATTTTTATCAAACGTCCTTCGGCGTTGCCTCCGCACCTTCGCACGACGTGCGTCGTGACGATGAGCGTTTGGCTGCGCAATATCGAGATCAACGGATCCCCGTGAGATCCCTTCAAGACCGCCGAGCACGGTCGAGCGGAGCGGCATTATAACGCATGACTCGCCTCAATAATTAACGCAATCCGAGCTAACGTTTGCATCGCGTTGCACTAATGATGCCGCCGCCGCCGCCGCCGCCGCCGCCGGCCGTCGACACAAGTGTTGGTGTGGCCGGTCGCGGTCTCTCCCGGGAAGGAAATCGGATTTCGCGGCACGTGCGGCGGATAATAAAAGCATCGTCGCCCCGGCTAGGTGTGTGCGCGGCGCGGCAAGGAAGGTGCCGCCGCGATTCCGTCCGTCGCGTGCGCGATGTGGCGAGGAAACAAATTCAATTGAAGCCAAAGTCGATGGGATCCGGACGACTCTCGAGCGCATCCAGTCTTCACGGCGCATGTCAACGAATCGGCGGCGCTCGGAATCTTTTTAAAGGTTAAGCCTGTCGCGTCGGCGGACTTTAATTATTAAATGTTTACCAGGGACGCACACACACACACACACACACACACACACACACACACGTCGCACGTCGAATTACGATTATTGTATGCCATCGCGTATGTCATCGCACTCACCTCCTCCAGGGACGTGATGGTCTGCCTGCACTGTGGCATCCGCGAGACGAAGGTGGACGTGGTGGGCGAGTTGTAGTCCTCCCTCGTCTCCTCGACGAACTCGCTCACAGCGATTAGGCCTGGCATCTTTCCTCTCTCTCTTTCTTCCTTTCCGCTTGTCAGTTGCTTCGTCTCTCGCCCCCACCCCACCCCCCACCCCCCCGGGCGCCCAGCTGCAAGCGAGGTTGTCCCTTCGGCAGATCTCTCGTCCTCCCCCTCCGCCTCCTCCTCGCGCCACGGCTCCCCCTCGCTTCGTCTTCGTCTTCGTCGTCGTCGTCGTCGTCGTCGTTCTCGACGTTATCGTCGTCGTCCTCCTCCTCGGTGACCGCGATCGCGCGCGCACTTTTCACTCTCCGCAGCACCGTTCACCTCACCCGCCGTCCCTCACCATGAATTCCGCGCGATACACCCCGGTCACCTTTTCCGCCTCTCCAATCCAGCGCACTGTTTCCCGTGACGCACGGTATAAACGTCGTCGTCCCGGTGCGACGAGTGACAGGGAACGAAAGACGGAGAGAGAAAGAAAGAAAGAAAAGGAGAGAGAGAAAGAGACACAAGCGGCGGAGAGCGTATACGTATATATAGGAGAGAGACTAAGGATGACAGAGAGAGAGAGAGAGAGAGAGAGAGAGAGAGAGAGAGCGCCAAGTGACGTAGAACGAGAAAGAACGAGACAGAGACGGCTGTTTCGAGTGTGTCCGGCCACCTCCTTCTTGGCGTTCTAGCGCGTAGAGATTGGGAGAAAAAAAGACAGAGGGGCGGAAGAAGAGCGAGAGGCACTCGCCTGGCGCGGGATTATTTTCGCGACATGGTCACAGCGAGCCACCGTCAACAGCCACGAGACGCATAACACGAGCGTTGATGAATCGCTCTCCTCGGCCACCCACAACAAGCGCGGGTCACCACGCATACGTGCATGCGCGAATGCACATCGCCGCGCCGTGCGGCAGCAGAGACCGACGCACACGCGTGTTCTCTCACACACACACACACACACACACACGCCGCGCACACGGGGACTCGGGAGAGAGAGAGACACGCGAGCGAGCGTGCGCGCGCGCGCGCGCGTACGCAATTTTGTCCGCGAAACGCTCCTTCCTCTCAATCTCGAAGCGTACACCTAACACACGCACCAATCGTTTGTTTGACTCCTCGAGCTCGGTCGGTGTCGAGGACTACCGAGACGCTCGCGACTGCGGCCCAAGTTCCACTGAGGCGGCGCTGCCGACACCGCGCTCGCGCGGCCACCGGCTCTCCGCTCGTCATAGAACACGGCACAATTAGAGGTAGATCTCTCGCGCGACTCGCGCGACACTAGCGACTCTCGATAATCGACGGGGTAACGAGACGGGAAAGATTTCAATATTCGAACATTTGTACAAACGTTTCGTACGATGACGCGATTCCGTCTGAGAGATGTCGAGGATAATTGAAAATTGTCATGACTGCTGGATATAAGCTGATTATAATCGGGTCGATTACCTTTGGCCGTTTCATTCAATTCGCTGGGCCTCGTGTTTCCGACGCTATACTATATATACAATGGACGCTGGACACTGACGACGAGTGTCGAATGACGCCGCTTTTAATCGCACTCGCGTTGGCTAATTGACTGATACGTTAAAACAATCACACTGCACTTGATTCGACCCTCCTGACACTCGTCCACTATACGCGTTCTATTACCTTTCAGAAAGATACAAAACACACCGAACGATCACGAGAGCCAGGCTCGATCGTTGTAAAACGAACTGAACCGAGCCGCACTTTCGAGTTTGACAATCGCAATTGCTACAATGGCGGCAATTCAAATTCCTTATATTATTCATTTGGCATCCGAAGATAATTTCTCGTATACATTATAATTTCTGACATCTCGTGAAATCAAACCTTTTTTTCCCTCAGTTACTCTATCTGTATTTTTTTCGTGATCGTTCTTTTCTACTCAATTTCATGGCCTATTCGAGTGAATTGATTCTAACCCAGGTCCTTGGGTTGAATACGCACAAGCTTCGTGATGGGCTAATAGAGTTTTTGTGACGTCATTACTTGACCGTGGACGAGTTAAAATCTACTCGCTCGAATGTACAATATATATATATATATATATATACAAAAGACAACAAATATTAATATTTCTTGCTTCTTTAATCTGTCTCGTTAATAAGTCCTAATTTAAATTGTTTTCTATTCTAGAGTATCTTATGTGTATTATTTGATTTCACGTTTCACCAAAAATTGCTGACTAAAATACGATTACAATAATAAAGGTAAATATAACCTAATCTAACAAACAGCTTCACCAAAGTGCAAGTTTTTAAACTTTATTAAACATAGAAATTAAATGACAATGGTCTCCTGAAGTTTAAGCTGTTTTTTGCTCTTTGCTTTAACTTGTGCCGCAATACGATCCAAGTCCCTCCGTCCTTGGCTAGTCAGTTTACGGCCACCAAGAGGTGCCTTCTCGATGAGTTTCAACTGTTCCAGACTTTGCAGCGCCTTACGTGCAACACCACCTGCCGATCGGCAGAAATGGCTCGGATGGGTGCCATTACGCTTGCGTCCACCAAAAATTTTGGTTACAGCACCAACCCCAATCGGGCTACGGAAATAAATATGACGCACCAGGGCTGCGCAACGAATATAATACCAATCTGGATCATACGGAGCAAGCTCCTTAAAACGGGCTGTTTTTACAATATCCACCCATTCTGGCACACGCATCTTGCCGGTTCTGGAATTTTTGACAGTAAAATAATAATAATGTAGAATTATGGGATATACCTTCAAACAATAAATTACATATTTACATATTTTTAAATCATGGTAAAGTATAAGATGAAATCATATAAAATATTACAATACACAGATAATATCGAGCAAGTCATTCAATATCACTAAGTTATATCAAGTAACAGAGATAACAAAAAATTAATAACTAAAATGAATATAATAATTGAGTATATAACTTAAGTATCTTAATATATATAATAATCACAAATATAAAATACATATATATATATATATACATAATATTCTGTATTCGAGATATTATATGTTAGTGCGGTGTGTACGTGTATGTACATGGTATATTGAAAGTATATAGTACAATGTGTGATGGCAATTTAAGGTTAGGTTCGGATGTTGCATTCGAAAGTTTTTTTTACTTACTTTTTAAGGAAGGCAGCAAAGGCCTTCACGAACTTGTGCTGATCTACATCTTTCAAGGTCACAGACGGCATCTGGATAAAATATAGAATTTTTAATTCGGTAAAATAACCAACACGCGTGAAACAACAAATGTACACATGCCACATGGGTGATGCATGAAGCAGCGTAACTCCTCAAATTTCTCAACGCAATTTCTCATAACCAATAAAAATTGTGGATGCCATTACATTAGTACGTACATTTTTAAATATATCCGCGTTACGTGTTCACTTGAATGGTTAAATTACTCTTTGTAAAATCGTCTATGCAACAAACACCGAGTACGCTCATAAGCGGAAAGACTAAATCCAAGATGGCGAGTGGACGAGAAGGTTAAGTTTGGCATGTAACATGGACAGGAAGTATCCATAAACTACACTCTAACCAAGATGCGTCGAGATCGAATGTTTCTACGTGATATAAATGTACTACAACCGTACACGATCTAGAAAAAGTGATCGATTTTGGCTTAAAACTCCTGCTGGTCTCTCGCTCTTAATTAATAACATCAGAGAAATCAGAAGCGAGAAAACACATGCTCAAAATTTTTGCTTGCTGTTTTCATTAAAAGATATTTGTATGAAAGAATACTTCAGATCGTTAAAACACACTTGTAAAATGCTCTAACATTATGCTTTTTCGTCAAAAGGCAATCGACAGCCATAAAATAACTGTAATATGAGGTTGGTTATACGGAATGATTACGCATGTGTTACGACTAGGTCTCATATTACAGTCATTCAACATGTAATTTCTCGCTCTTGACATCATTATTTAGGCTGCGTTCCGATATTCACTGGCAGTACATATATCGGTACAGAAGATACATAGTTTATATGTCGTACGTATACTATAGAGTTTCAATGCTGGCGATGTGTATCGGAACGCAGGCTTAATATATGGCCTCGGTGAGGCCACTCAATAACCTTAAAGTGAGACACGTATACAGGACACGGGTCTAAAATTCTTGTAAAATATCTACATAATTTTGAACCATTGTTTAAATAAAGTCGAACCTAAAATTTCCAGACAGGATACAATATCTCAACCAATTTAATCTCTATCCAAGAGAAATTTCTCTTTGTTTTCTCTCGCAACAGGAGATTCTTACACGTGGATCGAGCGCGTTTTATCCTTCTATCGCATAATCGCATTCATCGAGCGCACCACCGACGAGATACATACGAGATAAAGACTGCTGGCCTTACGAGATTTAGCGTACCAGAGAAATTTCGCTGTACACTAGCGTCCTCTTAGAAATATCGTGGCTGAAGTATGAAACATAGCTTGAAATAAGCATGGATGGTAACAGATATGGAAAAAGGTATCGGAAGATATCAAAGGCTGCGTTCAGCAGAACTGAGCGATCAGTGAGCGCTTAGTGATTCTCGCTTCTGATTGGTTGATACTTCTGGGTTTATGAAGAATCTAACAGAATGCTCCAATCACAGACAATAATCACTAAGCGCTCGCTGATCATCATTTTGTTCCACTGAACGCGGCCAAAGACTTTTAATATAGAAAACAGACCGAATATGTATGTGTGTATGTCTCTTAGGATTGCAAAACGTGAGAAAATTGAAAATAATTTTTGTTTTAAATATATACACACGTTGGCATTCCTTGAGTTAATAATTCGAAGTTGAAATAATACTAAAATTGCAATGCGAAACACATATACAGAGTGTTTCACAAATTCCTCGTTCCGAGGAATCCATGAAGGTATAGAACGGATTAAGATAAATATAAAATTCCCATATCATTTTGCGATGTTCGCCGAACAAGCGAACTATTAATTAGAGATATGTAACAAATGAGCACGCGCTGAGATTGTATCGATAAAAACAACGAAGCCGCTCGAGCCAAGCGCGGCCCACATGATCTAACAACGGTTGCCAACGTGTAAGAAGAAGGACAAGCCGCCGCTACTGGTGTACTTTTACCTCGTCGCCCTTGGTTAGGTCGTCCTTGCGTCAACATACTGATCATGAACGACTTTTTCTATAGCTTTTTTTCTGCAGCTGCACGACGACGACGGCAACGACCAAAGTCCGTAAATAGAGACAGAACGAAGTCAGGTTCTCTCACGGCCGCCATTTTGGAGCCAGAGAATCTGTGTTGGAGTACGTGATACTATGGCTGCGTTCCGATATTCACTGCAAGTACTGAAAATACATAGTTTGTGTCACATATGCTATAGATTTTCAGTGCTGATAGTGAATATCGGAACGTAGCCTATGTACGTGTAGTATTACGGTTTAGTGGTTAATCAGCTGAGCCACGGTCGCCACCATTTTCGAGCCAAATCGTGTAAAGTAGATGAGAGAGATTCTGATTCTCCTATTTCCGTCTCTCTATTTACGGACTTTGGCAACCTTTATATTATCTCGTCGGTGAGCGTATGTACACATTTTCCGGACTGATGTATTAGCGATTGTTCGGGATTTGATATGTTTGTTCGTTCGCTCAATGTATACCCACCTTAACATCGCGTTAGTGACAGCCGGTGTGTGTATGTGTGTGTGTGCGCGCGTGTAAGGAGAGGTTATATCGACTTGTCAACTTTATCTTTGTGTGTTGCGCAATATGACGACCACGACGAAAAGGGGTTTCTAAGAATTTTTAAGAATCGACATTGCGACTGATTGTCGTTATCGTCAACATCTGTCTCTCTCTCTCTCTCTCTCGTTACCCGAGTCGGTACGCACGATAAAACGGCAAACAGTCAAAAGTGTACCAATAGTAGCATCGGAGATGCTTCGTAATATTTGTCAAGCGGTATCGCCGACGATCCTGCGAACAATCGGAACGCGCATGAAACACGACTTGGCTGACATGGTTTTGACAGCACGTGCTCCCTTCTCGAAGGATTTCTTGTTTCGCCAGGTAATACTGCGAAGGGCAGGCGTATGCGCCTGCGTATTTAGGACATCAGTGTGTCCCATAATGGCACCGTAACGTCATCTGACGAGAGATTATTCGTACTCGCGTCTAAGTGTTTACGCGGTCGTCCATTTTTTTTAAATTCTGCTTTACACGATCTTGCGATATTATATACGTTATTTGGACGAAATTATGAAATATGGTGAGATTCTAAAGATATTGTATCAATCGTAATCAAGTGTCGCGTAGAGATACTTACTCACATTAGATATTTCCGTTATCATAGATATCTCTGCGTGCGACTTTTTCAGAAAGAGTGAGATAGAAAGCAAAATGAAAATATACACGCACACAGGTACATATCAAACGATATCGCGTTATAATATTCTCCCTCGTACATAATATGTATAATTTATTATTTATAATTTACTAATAATAATACAATTTCGTTACTTTGTGGCATGTATTCTATTTTTACAGATGATAATTTAGGTTATGACGTGCGTCTGTGTGTATGTGTGTTTAATTTTAATTTTAATTTTAATTTTATTTATAACAATCTAATTATGAATCTCTACGAAAAAATAATGTAGACGCGCGCGATGTATAAGTAATAATATTATTTACGACAATGTAATCTCATATATTTCAGTATCACGTTTTGCCGATAATTAATATTTGATCATTTTGTATTTCCAGTTTTTCGATCCAATATCCAGCACATACACGTATTTGCTGGCCGATGTCAACGATAAAGAAGCGATCTTAATCGATCCTGTTATCGAATGGGCCGATCGTGACAAACAAATCATCGAGGAGCTAGGCTTGGTGTTGAAGTTTGCCTGTAAGTCATCAAATGAGATTATTACATGCCACCTATATATTGTTTTGCGAAAAATATAAAAATATCAAGACATAAGGAACATATGAAAGATGTGTTTCTTTCATAGATATTTCCAAGGATTACGTGATTGAGATGTGATTGTTTATCCTTATATTGTATTAGAGCTCGCATATATATATATATATATATATATATACACACACATATATATAAAGTCACAACATTTATTCATTTTTTCGCTGTGTGCACTTTTTCACATTTGTACACTGGTAGATATTCATTAATATACAATTTATTTTAATTTATTTCAACTGGTTGCATTTATTAAGATGCAAGATCTACTTGATGATAAAAATTCATCATTTCAGAGCGGATAGCATCATTGAATTATCGCGCAAGTAACATTGGTTTTTTCGCGTCAATCACACTTTGTGTAATTTTGGAAGAAGTTAAATTCCGCATACTGGCATTCACTTCCGCGATGTAATTTTGCCTTTTATAACTCTTCGAGTGTCCGATTGATATTGTCAGCTACTTTAACGTAATATTACGTAACATAGCTTACCGAAACGTTTGAAGTTTTTACGTTACGCAAAATTCGGCTCGAAAGCTCGGAAAGCATGACAACATTTCCGACAATAGGACTGACTGAAATACACTTTATGTGAAAAGCAGAGTTTCACTCTAATACCGTCTTCAGCAAACAATTACCAAGGGACAGTTGGAAATGTTAGCGCTGCACATTATGTGCAAAATCGAGCGAGCACAAAATTCAGATACGACATTCAGGAGCGCCCAACGAGCCAACATTCATCACAACGTTCTCCGCCGAGCGTTCCGAATCGATAACTAATTAATTACACGCTCTAATTAACAACAAAATCTATTATCTTACTAGCACCGCGACGCGCGCGCGCTCGATCGTCGGAAATGTACTTGTCGCAATTACGCGACGTCCCGCGCCCGTGATTTACGAGCAGCGCGCAGAATTATTGCGAACTATCCTACTAACCGACCAATATTTGCCGAACTTCATAATGAATTGGCATGCAATCCCGCCGCGAAGGGCGGTCACGGGCTCTCCGCATAGTTCCTCCATTGTTCTGGCGGTTAACAGGACCGTGTGGACCATAAACCGTGCGCGCGCCCGGGTATATCGTCGAACTTTGCCAATTTCAATAAAGAACTTCGACTTCGACCCCCCGATCCGATTTCGCCGCGCTATAATTTTCGAGTGTACCGCGCGACGAAAGCGCGTGTTCTCGTCGAGCAAATCCTGCCCACTCCTCCGTCCACACGTTCGGCCTACGTTCGACGTTCGGATCATCTCCATGGAAATCAACGCGACTGGTGTTCTAATACAATAACGTCTCGCGACTTGTCGCAATCTTGTGACGTCTTTTCACGACATTTACGCGGCGAGGCATTCTCGACGAAGAACTCCTTCGCGAGAAGAAATCAAGTCTACGCGGGCTGGGGGGGGAGGGGTGTCGTATGTCGGGGCGCGCAGAGGTTTAATGAGGTTCTCGTCTTACTTATTGCACCGTCAGAATGCGCGGCGTGATTCTTTCCGAAGAGGACTCGCGCCAAAAGCAAAAAGGGAAGAAACGAAGGAAAAGAGAGAGGGAAAACTAACGCGTGTTTCTCCAATTAAGCGACACGTGCGCGCTTGTTTATGGATACGGACTCGCTGTGCCAATTCTGTCCCGAACAAATGGCCATTACCATAATACGCCGCTCAGTTTTCCGATAATGCAAATATCTTTACCGCCGCTGCGCCTCTACCTTGCAAAATTGCACGAGCTGCTCGTAATTTAGTCATCTACCAAGAACTCGCGAAGTCGCTAATTAGACCAATGGATGTACTGTAACTTAATTATTTGTCTACCTACGTCGCGCATACGCTTGAAAGGACACGCTCCTTCTCGAGCCGGTTACTTGCCTGTTGAGTCACCGTCTCAACTTTCCCGCTGTTGCAGTGAACACGCATATGCACGCGGACCACATCACCGGTACAGGTCGACTGAAGATGCTCTTACCCGGCTGCAAGTCGGTGATTTCGCGCAGCAGCGGCGCCGAGGCCGATGTACTCCTGGAGCCGTTCGATCAGGTCCGATTCGGCAGGCATCACTTGGCGGTACTGCCGACCCCCGGTCACACCGAAGGTCAGATTCGTCACTTCATATTCGGCCTCTTCGGCAGACGAGTTCCGAAGGACTCCTGCAATTATGTATTTAACATAATTTGTGATAAAATCACAAATGTATATGAACGAAGGTGAAACACTCGGCCGTAAGATGGCCGAGTGATGTCAAATTCACAAAATCGTTATTTCGAATAGTGTACGCAGTGCTTTTTTCCTGGCCGTACGGCAAACCGTTTTTTTTCCTTTTTTTTTTTTTTTTTTTTTTTCATAACTACGTTCTGAGAGAATTGATGGTAAAAATGTCCCTGTAGATGTCACTGTATATAGGCTCCGAAGAAACGAGTGACAATTAAGTCGGTAGCTACGTTATTGAATATTCGACGTAATGATTCTTCGGGAGCCTTATTTTAACTTTTACATAACGAAGCAAGTGTACAGCATGAGTAAGTGAGAATATTCTGTTTATTTCCTTGATAAAACTAAAAAATACAATGCACGTATAATTGTATTCAATTTTGTCGCTAATTATTTGTCGCTGATGGCATTACAAATTGGTAACTGAGAGTGCTGAAACCTTTGTCCCTAGAAGAAAAGCACATCGACTACTTACTGTATTTATCAATTATCTTTGAGAATGACTAGAAAAAATGCACTGTGTTTAGCAATTATTGTAGAAATTACAGTCTATGGCCGATCTTAGTCGAGTTTACCTTCTAATTTGTACACAGAACGTGAGTTTCTCATCGGAAAAGCGACTTTTCTAACGCACAAAGATTCGTTTGTGTCATCGTCGAGCGGTAAAATATTGTACCGTTGTCCATTTAGCTAACGTCCCGCCGCGCGCGGTCGTCCGTGTGTCCAGTTATATGGAGTGATAAAACAGAACACACACACACACAGCGCGGCGCCCTGTAAAGGGCTAAGTGCATAGTGCGTCACATATTTGATACATATGTGGATTTTGGCGTTTTCTCCGCGCGTTCTGCGTGCGCTGTGTTCGTGTAGGCCATGTGTCACTGTCTCGTCGATTCCACCGCCGGAAAATGGACCTTCGTGTATATTCCCATTCTTTTTCTTCCTCGATTCTTATCACTTCCGAAAATATTACACATCCCCGTCTCTTTACCTCCCGCAACGTACCCCGCTGAACGCTGAACGCGAGTTTCTTGACCCGCTGAGTCGCTGATTTTGCGCGAGAAATGCGAGAAATGCGAGAAATGCGAGAAATGCGAGAAATGCACGGTTTCACGCACATCACATCGCGAAAATCCGCGCTCACGTGGCTGCGACTCCGGGATATCGGATATCGGGCTTCGCGTTTTCTTGGACACACGATCGATCGCTCGCGCGCGCGCGCGCGCGCGTTCGTCCGATCTCTATTATTTTATTAATCGACGCGAGTGGCGAAATACTTTGTCGGACGCGGGGGCGGTGAGAGAGGCGGTGCCTGCTATTTTGCTACACGTGGACTGAAAAGATCAAGGATACATGAAGGTCCCTGTCTCGAGTACACGTACAGAGTCCGGGCGTTTGCGAATGCCGCAGGCAATTCAATCGCGAGGCTCCTTGGATCTTTGATCCACCCGATTACCCGGAAACTATCGATTCTTCAGTAATGAAACGTACTCTGTTTTTTTCCTCCGCCAGCTCGGCCGTCCTCGTGGACTATTTAGGGAGGTGGCTCTCTGGGGCGCACTCTCTCTCTCTCTCTCTCTCTCTCTCTCTCTCTCTCTCTCTCTCTCTCTCTCTCTCTCTCTCTCGTACGTGTACACTTATATATACATACCGTACATCGCTACCGGAGTTTACACAGCGGGACGGCGGCAGTATGGAAAAAAGGAAAAGAAGAAAGAAAAAAGGATACAGTCGTTCTTATCGATCGTGCCAGATTCGCTATTCGTCGCGAAACTCAATCGTTTGTCCAGGGGAGATCCTCGGTTAGGTGCGTCTGAGTTGTCTCGATAGCCGGGCGGGGGGGGGCTCTTCTCCTCGCGTAACGGGCTCGATTTTTCGTGGCAAATTCGCGCGAATGCGCTAAAGGACCGTCAATTAGATATTCGATGTGTCGGCTGCGTCGGATGTGTTTCCTGCGGCACTCCGTGGCGAAGCCCGATCGATGCCGATTTCATTCCCGACGATTTCCACGTTAAACGCGCTTCGCGTCGCGACGGAAATTTGCTGTTTCGTGACCATCGTCGGCAAGATCAGAAGCCCCCATACCACCACGGGGGGAATGTGTTCTGAGCGTAAAATTAATGTACATCGTGCCATATTTATTCGCGCCGGTTTCACTGGCACGGAAACCGACGAGGGAATTAATTATGTTCATTTGCTCATTGTGACGAATCATTGACAGCGTGACTATTAACTTTTTATCACCGGAAAATTCGTTACGCCCTAATTACTCCACTCAACTCCGGCAGGCCGTTTTATATTTCTCGGCAGTATAAACATCGGGGATTTCCAATGTCATGCGCAGCTATTCATCTCATTCGGTGTTTTTCGCACCGAACGTAATATATCTGTTCGCAATTTCTTCTTTTTCCTCCTCTGTTTTTTTTTCGCGTTATTTTTTGTTTTGACCAACGCGATATCACTCGCAATTGGATGAACGAGCTGACGAGGACTCAATTTATCGTATCGGCCGATTACGAAGCGCGAATCGCCGCGAAGAGCGGTACACACACACACACACACGTATGTTTACGTGTACGTAGTATCCGCTCCGAAAAACGACACGATGCTTGCCGAATGACTGCGCGGTGAAGCACGATATCGTAAATATTTTATCTGTTATACTTGCCGCAGGTTGCATCACGTACGTTTGCGACGAGCAGGCAATCGCGTTCACGGGTGATGCACTCTTGATACGAGGATGCGGCAGAACTGATTTTCAGGTAAGCGCGGCTACACCGCTTGCACACGCACGTCCGTATCTCTCTCTCTCTCTCTCTCTCTCTCTCTCTCTCTCTGCCGCGCGCTACAGCTGCCAAGAGCGCTGCGAAATTTAGATCTTCCCTTGTTTTTGGGCTTTCGGCAAACAACGAGAAACAACGATGTCATCCATTGGCATTGCAATATCTTTTTTTATTTCTCTCGAATATACATGGTGTTTAAGAGTTAAGAGTTCAGGACTTTGAAAGCATATAGCGGATAATGGAGGATATGTTTACCGAACGTTGAATCAAATGAAAAAGATTAACACTTTCGATCTAACATATAATATATTTTTCCTGTCGAAAGCCTGTCATATCGCGACCGCGAAAAATAGATTGCGTTAATCGTTTTGCTACATAACTCTAGCTCGTTAATACTTACAATAAATCGTCGCAGCGTTTCTTCTCGACCGCTATCGCGCTTTGATCCGAAACCGAACGGCTTTTTCTTTCTACCGAATACGTTAGGTCGCGGCGACCTATGTCGCCGATATAATTGTCGAAAGTCGATAAATGGCTATTTATTTAAATGTCATAACTACGAGGGCGGCGATCGATGCCGGCGGCCCTGCGGATACACACCACGCGCAGAAAGGCAGAGAGAGAGAGAGAGAGAGAGAGAGAGAGAGAGAGACGCGGCATCCTGAATTCTCGTTGAAAACGTGGACGGTCGTTGCAATAACATTTTCAGTCCATGTTGCGCGCGGAACGTAAACGTCGATATATCATCCGGAATATGAAAGACTTCTTCTGCACAACTCGCGTGATGAATAGCCGTTCCTCGTCCATCGTGGCCGATCGCGCGGCGGTGCATTTTATAAACGTGCCTGCGACTTATTCTCTCGAAAGCTCGCGGTTAAACGATCCTTTAAACCGGGGAGAACGACCGCATATCGTTCCGCGTATGCCTTGCCCTGGCATATTTCAAGCTTGCAGTTCCCATTTATTACGTCAACGATAATAATTGGCGATCATCGATCTCTCGTCCCGACGAGCTCCGACTTCAACACGCAATCGTAGCGACAGCACGCGCAACGGTGATATTCTTGCTTTTCGTTCGTCTTTATTGTCGCCAACATCGCGGCGCCCCGACATCAACGGACAACCAGAGAAAGACGCCTCTCCTCGCGGCCTCGTATCGCGAACGAGATATGAAACGGAGTGATTTCTACGACTGCTTGCAGGGCGGATCCGCCGAGACTCTCTACAAATCCGTCCACAGGATGATCTTCACGCTGCCGCGGCATTACCGATTGTATCCGGCGCACGATTACAACGGCAGAACTGTTACCACCGTGGCTGAGGAGAAAGCTCTCAATCCCAGACTGTCCAAATCGCTGGGGGACTTTGTCCGGATTATGGCCAATCTCAACCTGCCTTACCCGAAAATGATCGGTCAGTATGAGCCGTACGCGTTCTGATTCTTGCCGTCGTCTTAGGCCGCGATATCGCGACGGATAGCACAAGCGATAAAGCACTTCAGTGTCTGGGGCTAATTAGTCTGACGGGAAGAGAGGGTAAGAGATTGCCTCGCTATCTGCGGCGCGTTATCTCGAAAATGCGCCCTCGGAGATACTCTCTCGGCGGTTCCACAGGCCTCAACGGGATTCCCGGGTTTCATTTTTGGGGTGGCGCGCTTCGCCGCTATCGGCCCGCTATCCGCTGATAAGCTAATAGCCGTCTTTGGAGAGCGTTACGACGCGTCGTCCTGGTCCGCCGTCCGGTCCGGCAACCGTCGACAAAGTCGGTTGCGACGGTCGTGTCTGTCGCGTGACTCGGTGTTTTCCTTGCGACCACTTGCCAAGTAGTCGCAGGAATTTCGCGAAAATGACGGTCGTTTGTCTCAACGCGCGAAACGCGTTGGGATCTCCGGTCAACTCAGACGATCAACTGGATTCGATCAACTGGAGCGATGAAAAGCGCTTTTCCTCTCGTTTGTTTTCTCTTTTTCTCATTGTTTTTCTCTTGTCTTTATCTCTCTCTCTCTCTCTCTCTCTCTCTCTCTCTCTCTCTCTCTCTATTTTAATTCGCACGCGACGTGATCTGGGAATGAATTCCCCGTGGGAGGAAGAAGCGACGTGATCCGACATGATCCGGTCTCATCGATACGCTGTGGAATATTTGTGCAGCTACTGTGCCGACTTGGCGCGTAGTTCTCGCGACGCGGCTAAATGTTAGATGAGCAGAGACTCCGCGATGTTACATCCTGCCGATGCTGCGATAAAAGATCGATGAAATTGTCGGCTCGCATCTCGTCGAACAACCGGAATAAACGAGTCCCTTTTCTCGTAACTCGAGTCGCTCGAGTGACATTTCGACGTGGAATTCGACGTTGGAAGCGACAGACAGAAATATTAATTAAAAAAAAAGCAGAAATCGTTAAAATATCGTTGATCACTTTACTGTTTGTTACTCTTTTGCAAAGCCCGTACGTAGCGCCGTCATATTGTTGTTGTTTCAGATAAAGCTGTTCCGGCGAACAAAGTTTGCGGTTTGTTCGAGGTTGAGGAGGAAAAGGACAAACGGTGAAAGACCGTTGACAGGTTGACAGCGTTACAGTCAATGTAATGCGCGAGTGGCGCACCGATATTGTAGCTTCGCTGACGCTATTCTTGATGTAAATAAGGTATGGCATCGCACAAGCGCAGTTTATATTTACATACGATGAACAGTGCAATTATTGTTGATTCTACACGCCAATATATGATAACCGGCGTTACTAGCGTTAGAGAAAGGCGTAGAGAGAAGTTACGTGCTTTCTGTTGCATGCATATATTGTCTAATATTATACATACACATATACGTCAAATTACAACTAAACAAAAGAGTTTTCGAAAGCTACATAACTTTGCTCCCACACTCATCCTGCACGGCATTATTTACCGGCGTTTATTCTCGCGCCATTTAAACTCACTTGAGAACTGTCTACAAATTCATACGTTAAACGTTCGCATACATTTTTGTTATTATTTCTTTTGAGCGAAACAAATCGTTATTTAATTGTGGTATTTCATTTACGGGCTCTTTTCCGCTCCAAGTTTTTATTGCAACAATATAAAGACCGAGGCCGGGTTAAAAGAGTGCTTTGGTTTACGCGCGAGGTTTTAATGAGTTGACACGTGCATTTTGTACATTTATGTGGCAGCGTGTTCTTCGAGAGAGAGAGAGAGAGAGAGAGAGATACGATATATATCAAACATATGACTCGAATATAACGCACAATACTATAAGCTGCCCTCTGAATGGGTGCGCTCTCATTTACGATAGAAATTCATCACCTATTCGTTAGTTAGTCGCGTTCAACGCGAACGCTTGTTAATTTTCGGCAAAATTTGGCCGACATATTCGTTTTTTTCTGCGGTTTCTGTTAATCGCACTCGATCGGCAAAAGTCGATCTGCAAATGTTTAAAAAGGAGATAAAACAGTAATATTTTCCCCGCGGACTCTCGGTAGCGTCCCGTGCTGAAATATTCTACGTATTTATAGGGTCGTCATCCTTTCGACATTCGTGTCGCGACGTTTTCGCGCAAATTCTCTCTCTCTCTCTCTCTCTCTCTCTCTCTCTGCCTAGGTTAGGTCTTTATCTCTCCATGCATGAGTTTCCTCGAGTTTCCCCGACATCCTCAACGCCGATGTTATGACTCGCGAATTACAGTCGTCCGGAATTATCACTTATCTTACCGAACTCGACAACGCACTCGCGCATATCGCACTGCAACATCCACTTTAGCGCGTTAGGTCCTCGTTTGAAGATTTTCTCGCGATATACTTTCTCATTCGCGGTAATTTCACGATAAGCCGGCTCGCTGAGGGTCTTTAGACTCCAGATCCGCTTTGCGAGTAATCGAATACGATTGCGCGCACCAACGTATCACACAATCGGAGCAAGTTCGTCGATAATCTCAACTGAATATCCCAATTATACGCACACACAGTCAACGCTCTCTTCCCTCTTCTATCGTTCTCTCTCTCTCTCTCTCGCGCGCGCGCGCGCGCGATAATGCAGTCCACGTATAATTAGGAAGATCCATGGATCTGTCATCATCCACGAGGGTCGAAGGCTATTTGCAGTTCGTCGAACCAATAACAACTTTCGGATCGAGCGATCGGCCCGAGGTGCATATGGCTTCGCAAATCAGCGGAGCGAAGACGATCGAGCGTTTGCGGGAGGGAAAGATAGAGACGGAGAGATGGAGAGATGGAGAGACAAAGGGAGAGGGAGAGAGAAAGAAGGTAGGTAGAGGGAGAAAGGAAGAAGAGAGAGGGTTAAAAGTGTTCATCACTAGAACTTAAGCTAAGCCTTGCGTGAAGCAGAGTGAGAGGGAAAGAGCGACACGAGGGAGGGAGAAAGAGAGGAAGAGAAAGAGACAGGGGGTCTTGTAATCGGGTTGTCGAAACGGGCTCCGTGCGCCTCGTCGAAACTCAGGGTGAAGAGACCCCCATGGTGTGGTGTTGGTTTCCTACTGCATAGCTGAGGGTTGAAATCGATACCGTTTCCAGGGTAACCGGTGGGTACGGTGCCCGACACACGGGCGAAGGCACACGGGCCAAGGCTACCTACTCATGCATTTTCATGTGCCCGCCGAAAAAGGCCAAAGACAAGAGCGTTTGGTTCGCGATGGTCGCGCGAACGAGAACAATTCGGGCGAGCGGGACGAAACGCGCGTGATAGTGCGAGTAGAGAGAGAGAGAGAGAGAGAGAGAGAGAGAGAGAGAGAGAGAGGGGGTGAGGGAGAGAGTGGAGAATGTGCCGAAATTCCGGTGAGAAATCCGGGAAAACCTAATCTCTTTTCCGTCAGCGTATCTTTCACGCGTCCACGTTTACGCCTCAAACGCGATAAATAAAATATAATTCAACGTAGGCTCGAATATTGCACGCGTCTTTTTTCGCTCTCCTTTTTACCGCTACGCTGCACTCCTACGCTCGCCTCCTTATCATATTAATGCGACTGTTGCTATTAGAGCTTAAGTAATAGCAAAACGGCAAAAGTGGAACAAAGAACGTAATGTTTTTTTTCGTGCGCTCCGTGCGATGGGCCTTCGCTATCTGAGAGGGTCTTGGGTAGCGCCTGCCCCATTTGCCTACGTCGGTAGATACCGCCGTATTGTTCGCCGCAGCTTTATCGTAAGGACGGCCCTCGCGGTGTTATCACTGAAAAATGGTCGTGCTGTGAGCACGCGTATCCCGGAAGTTAATGCGCTACTTTGCGACGTGGCCTCCCTTCCTACTCTCATTCCGCTCTTTCCTCGCTCTCATCATCAAGTTCATCCCTTCGAGAAACCGCAATTTCAGAACGCGGCCTTTGAAGAACCGTGTCCGTTCTTACGACTCGATAATTATCGTTGCCCTTTGAGAGATGGGTATTAGGACGCTCCCTTTCTCTCTCCCTCTCCCTCTCTCCCTCTCCCTCTCTCTCTCCCTCTCTCTCTCTCTTTCTCTCTCTCTCTCTCTCTCTCTGTTATATATACACATATATCCGCCATATTCGCACGAGATAACGAGAAAAAGAGAGGAAAAGAAAATACGAAAACCGCGTCACGCGGACGTGTAATTGATTCCAAAATGCAGCATTCCCCGTAGTTGCGTTAACGTATATTGTTCCGACACTGCACTGACGCCGTGATACGTGATACGTCGAATGACGAAATTACTATTTCGACGCGCGAACCAATTATCGTAGCCAGCGACGTGTTGTCGTTGTTGCGATTGCACTTGGTTACGCGAGGGAGATGGAATCGTCGATCCAAATATCGTTTTTCTTTTCCAGTTACGGCCATTCTGCAAACAACGTTAACGTACGTCTAACTATGTGTTCCGTAAGAAATTTCAGAGGACGAACATGTGTAATCAGGTAAGTTTGTGTGTGTACTGTTTTCAGCGCAAATGCGCTCGGAATCAATCGACAGGCAATCGCCTGTCTGTCTGTGAAAGATCCAGTAGCGATAGCCATGCGGATGTGCAGTAAAGGGGACTGCGGATGAGAGCTAGGAGCATTTGAAATTTTCTACCCTCGAATTCGAGCTTTGGATTACTTTGCTATTTTTTTCCATCCGCTTGAAAGACGGGTGTCATTTTTAATTTGTTGTTTAATTTGACACAGTTTGTGAAAAATACCACAGCTTATAATTTAAAAGATCACCCTTTAGCGAAATGATCACTTTCAGCTAATGTTCGAAACCGACATGACAAAGAGATTGCGAGCGAGCGAGCGAGCGAAATGTTGAATTATATTTTAATTAAAATCAGCGGAGGATGGCCATTATTGTAATTTGCCATTCCCGAGGATTGCTTTAAGATTTACGTTTCATTACAGCGAATGCCTGAATGGGTAACAATCGGAGTAAAGTAGCTCCGATTGGCGATTCGCTGTCGAGCTCCAGATCTTTACTACCCGTTCGCTAAATTACTGTAATATGCGAGATGTCGCGTAATAGACACATTTAGACACGTAAGGTAAGTAAAGTGTAATTCCGATATTTTCCTCTCGGATCTCATCATCAACCGACCCTGTGTCTATCCGCACAGTTTTTATACGCGTTTCTTATACACGCAGTATTACGCAGCGGCGCTTATATCGGCGAGTCGTTACCACTTCTTTCTTTCGCTCGTAATATGAATAATTAAGTAAACTGTAAGGTTAATATAACGAGCGCGGCGGTCATATGGAGGAATCCGAGGAGGTATGTCAGGAATCGAGGTGTTCCCGGCGTCCTCGAAAGGACGACCGCGTGTCGATGGTGTCGGATGTCGAACAAAACATTCGTCTCCGACTGGCGAATTCTCGACGTGTGCACGTGATCCCAGCCCGAGAGAGAGAGAGAGAGAGAGAGAGAGAGAGAGAGAGAGAGAGAGAGAGAGAGAGGAAGATTCGCACGCGAATATTGTGCGCGGCGGTTTCTGCCATGGCGGAATGTTCTGTCATAGAGAGCGGTAAAGTGATTTCTTTTACTTACCTCATCGTTGGCGTACCGCCTCGTATCTACAGGTTGTTGATTTTGTCATAGATGCAGACATTTCAACTTGTGCTCGACGCTGTTCCGCTGCCACCTCGACCGTTCTCAGCTACGGCTTGCTCGGCTCTCCGCAGTCTTCTTCCGTCTTCATCCTCTCATCCCCCTGTTCTCCTCCTTCTTCCGTTCCGCCTTCTCGTTCCGCTCTCCTCTCTCGACACGCCTTCGATTTCTTGCGTAGGTTCGGCGGATCAATTTACTGCAGCGAGCAATTCTCACTCTCCGTCATTGATTCGTCCAACGGTCCGAGCGAGGTATCTTTCGTCGACGGGGAGAGCCATCCAAGTCGACACAAAGGACAGGAAAACTCCTCTAATTAGGGGGAAGCAGTCGCACCCCGAATTTTTACGAACTTCCTCGGGATATATTCTCTCTCTCTCTCTCTCTCTCTCTCTCTCTCTCTCTCTCTCTCGCCCTCCTTCCCTCCCTCCCTTCCTCTCTCGCTCTCGAGCTCAACCCGGAACCGTCCCGGGTCGGCGAATTTTGCGTAATTCACCGAGTCGAGCGTCACGGACGCATCTTTAAGCGATTAACTTTACCATGCGTATCGGGAGGACGTTGTTCGGAGAAATTGCCGGAATTTTTATGCTACTAGCAAAGTTGACGATAATTTTATACGGGACGTTCCACCGTCGCTCGTGCATGCGAGCGGTCGGGCTCGGAGAGATTTCCGCCGACGATTCGTCGACGATAGTAACACCGCTGCACCCTGCAACAATAACGACATACGTCGCCTTGTGCGACTTTGATAATTTAGAGAGAGAGAGAGAGAGAGAGAGAGAGAGAGAGAGAGAGAGAGAGAGAAAGAGAGAGAGAGCCGCGCAGGAATAAATCCGCCGTTAAATGCATGCCAGATTCGGAACACTGGATGATTCGTTAAAACGCGATAAACGACATACTATATCATGTAATGAGCCAATATCAAAGAGTTTGAATAAAGGATATTGACGTGTGAATGTGAATTTGCGGATTAAAATTTACAATCAATTCTGCAGGTTCCAACAATGTAGTTTCTCCAATGTTCATTTCCAACGTTTCCGATGATCCAGTAAAAAAATATCAAATTTACCCAGAGATATTTTTCCATCGGAATACAAGAGGAAGGTGAAAATTGGAGAGAGAATACAATTATACGTAATTGATGCATTTTGTGTTTGCCTTACACTCACTCACACAACAACAACAAACGCGTACACACGCGCGCGCGCGCACACACATCCTTGCGTGAAATCGAATTCCTCAATGAACGACACATCAACGTTTGTCATTGAAAAAACGACAACAGCCTTCAACACACATCCTTACCTTGGTTACTCTCTCCGTAATTATATCTCGTGCATATAGGTTCTTGAGGAATCTATTGATCCGCAAATACAGATAAACACATTCTATCGCGTACAACACCACCGCCAAGTTGGACCCGACGTGCGGATTACGTGCGCGTAATTGTCAACCAAACGAACGCTTTGTTACAGCAACAACGAGCCTAGCGGCCTCGATCGGACGGCTCGGTGGAGCCGAGATCGAGATCTTCGCAGCGGCTGAATGACGTGCTGACTCGGCCGATCTAATCTGAGAAAATCATGCGCTACTCGAATCATCGTCGCGCGGCCGCGTCGTTTGAACGCTTGGCGTTCCCGCCACATTATCGACTGGTCGCGACGCGCATGTGCCGGCATACGCCTCCATCTTGCTTTCTCGCCGAGCGACCCACCCAGCGGCGACGGCGGCGGCGGCGGCGGCGGCGGCGGCGGCGGCGGTGGTGGCGGCGGCGGCGATGGTGGCGGCGGCGACGACGACGACGGCGACGACTGTAGGCGGGCAGTAGTTCGCTGCGCTCTCGGTGGTATATACGGCGGGTGAATTGTGCGCCAGGTAAAACCGTACGTACCGCGACGACGAGGATCGGGGCTGTGTCCCGCAAGAATCATTGCGACGCGTTTCATACGGCGTAACACCGTTTTCATACGCCTCGTCGGCTGGGAAAGAGGAACGTTCTGAGAACGGGAGACGACGAGAGAGGGAGAGGGGGAGAGAGAGAGAGAGAGAGGGACAGAGAGGAAGATACACGAGCATTCGGAGAAGGAAAGAAGAGATCCGCAGGATTTGCGGAGGATTCGCGGAGGCATTCGCCGTGAGCGGACACACTCGTCGAGGAGAACGAGAGGACGTGGAATCGTAGGTGGGCCGGGAAGAGGAAGGAGATGAAGGGGATGCTGGCGCTGGCCGCGTTGCTCGGCGTCCTGTCGCTCGTCTGCCGCGTCCAGGTAAGAAATTCTTTCCTTATCGCCCTCATGTCTTTGTTCCGCGCCTCCTTCTCTATCTACCTGTCCCATTCGCTCGCTCATTCTCCCCCCCTCTCTCTCTCTCTTTCTCTCTCTCTTTCTCTCTCTCTTTCTCTCTCTTTCTCTCTCTCTCTCTCTCTCTCTCTCTCTCTCTGTCTGTCTGTCTCTTACTCGTCATTTAATCCCGAGAAACGCGAAACGAGCGATGTTCGAACGCGAGCGGCGCTTTCACCCTCGAGCCAGGCAAATGTCAGGCGCAGCAAGACGCTAAGACGATCGATGTAGTGTGTGGCCCGCAATCTCCGCTTTTTCCTTCGGCCTGAAATTACGCGCCGGTGGTCGTCCCCGTGAGATTCTCTACAACCCTATGGTGCCATGGCGGCTGTCAAATGCTCTCCGATCAATGACCGCGTCGCGACGTTGCACCATTGCATCGAGAACGGCTGCTGCGGCGATTTTTTCTTCGCGTCTTGCGGACGCGCTCAGTCTCGCGAAATCACCAAATTTGCGTAACACCGAACGAAGCAACGTCGGATCGGTCGTTCGTGTTCCCCGGCTTTCTATCCCCCCTCCCCTCCCCCATTCTGTCCGGTCCATTTTCCGAGCAAATCGCGGTTTTGCGCGATCGCGCTTTGCGTTAGAGCGTTAAAGCGCTTCGTGTCCCTACGAAGCGTTACGAAGCGGTCACGGCTGCGTTTCCCGAAAAGAATGCTGCGGAGGCGGCTCGTGAATACGACGACCGGTAACGCCGGGAAAATGATCGATCCGTGCTGGCGTAAGCGAGAATTTGCGTGTTAATGCAAAATGCGAAGCCTCACGCTTCGTCGTCGACGATTTGAGCGAGTAATTTATTCGCCATCCATCACGATCGCCCCAGCGTGAGTTTTGTAATTTGATGAAACTGACTGTCGATAAGGCAACCAGAGAGAAGGAGACTCGCGGCGGTTTCCTTCCGATTCACCGAAGCAAATTTTAACGTCGCTCGCAATAGTCGCGTGTGGGCATTGGCGGTGGGTGGTGAGAAACCGTGGGCCGTGTGGAGAGAGAGAGAGAGAGAGGGGAGTGGAGAGAGGGGGAGAGAGAGAGAGAGAGAGAGAGAGAGAGAAACAGCTCGAGTAATTCTCAATCGATTTGACGCTCCGTCGCATGACATTTCCCGTTTTTATTTCAATGCGGTTTGCGTCGCTCTCGCTTGCTGAGCGCGACGTTTTCCAACTTGGGCGCATCCTCACAATTTGCAATTCTGCCACAACCAGCGAGTCCATAACGGTTTTTTCTCTCTCTCTCTCTCTCTCTCTCTCTTTCTCTCCCCCTCTCCCTCTCGCTCTCTCTCTCTCTCCCTCTCTCTCCCTCTCTCCCTCTTTTTCTCCAGTTCTCTCTTACTCTCTCTCGGTTTTTCTTTTTTCTCTCCTAGTCGGCAGCGTTTCATCATGACCGATAGTCTACATATAATAAATAATTAATAATCCGCTCTATAGCAGAGTAATGCAATTTCGAAAGCAGCCGCCGTACGACAAAACACTCTATAAAGGACCGATGTAGCAGGCGATTTGCATATCCGACCATATCGTTGTCGCATTATCCGACTGCGTCGTAATTCGAAAATAATCCGCGCCCGTGAATTCGGCCGCGGTCGCCGACCATGTGGACGCCCGAAGGATTACGTCAGCGATTAGCGCGCGAGTCGATGCGACGAAAAAATCTGGTGAAAGCTTCTTGCGTCGTGTCAGTCTCGTACCGAAGTGTCGTGTGTAAATTTGGGACCCTTGGAAATTCCGCTCTCGTCGTCGCTCGTACGAAAACTCAACTCTGCGTTGAGAAGCGGAGAGGACGTGATATGGGATATTGGTGATATTAACTCTCTCACCTCATTAAGGCCGTGACCGTATCGTCGAAGGTGTGTGTGTGTGTGTGTGTGTGTCTCTCTTCCATATCTAACTTACTCATATAGACACAGTCTGTGTCATCGTCTGAAGCTCGCTCATTTGGCCGCTATTTAACCCGGCCGTTTCACCCAACGCTCTCTCGCGAGCTTCGATCGCGAGCGATCTCGTGTCTGCGCGGCACTCGCAGTCGTTTCGGGTTACGCCTTTTGAGGATTGTCGGCGTTCCCGACCTTCCGCGCGGCTGGCCCGCGCGCCGGTCGTTTAAATGCCTCCTCGCGTTACGACCATTTAAAAGCGGCATTTAAATCGTACACAAGCGAGACGAGCGAGAGAGCGGCCGTCATTAATAGGCTCGTTTGTGTCACGCTCGTTTCACGCACGCGGCCATGTGTACATGCGAGCCCGCTTTTATCGATGTTACATGCCGCGTCGCGTCGCGTAAACAGGCTTTTCGTTCAGAAAGAACGCGTTTAAAAACAATCGACAACCGAGAGGGAGAGAAGAGGAGAGAGAGAGAGAGAGAGGTAGAAGCGAGCGAGAGACGAAAGGGCGGAGGAGTGTGTGCTGCATCCGGCGGAGCGGGAGTGCGATTCGGCGCGCGCGCGTGTGTTGTATATGAAAACTCTCGCGGGCGGATCTAATTACGGGGATATTCGAGTCTCGAGAGCGCAGGTGCGGCTAGATTTTATGGGAATTATGCAGCGCGCTCTTCCCATGAGTGCGCCGAATGACTTATCTCATGCCGTGCAGAAGGGATTTTCCAAGAAGGCGTGCGCACACCTCGCGCGACCCGGCCGTGTTCGTGTCGCGTATAATTAGCATTTTACCGTCGACTTCTGGCAATTTCGCGAATAACGCGCAAAACGGAGACGGGGCGGGGAAGTGAAATTCAAGCGAGTGCGTGGGAGGGGGGGGGGAGGAAATTCAATTTTAGTTATGGCAGGTGTTTACGAAAACGGACACTGGCGAAAAGCGATATTAGCTTTATTCCGTGCTCCGGACGGAACAATTCCGTGGATGCTTCAGTTTTTATTCCCTCTGTTTAATAAGTTGAGTCTTTAAACATGTATGCGTGCGCACTGGTCCGACTAAGACGTTTCGGGGATTGGTCGACTCGGTTACGACTCGTGTCCATTGTGGCATTTTCTACGGTCGGTCTGTTGTGATTGCGCGACACGAAACGTTAATTCTGCATTCGGGATTCTGTATGTCTCGAAATGTAACAGCACTAATTCGAATTAGCCTTAATCTGTGCACTAATTTGAATTATTCTTGATAGCAGCGCGTATCTTATTAGTGACTAACGCGCTGCTATAGTCCTCCGAATGCAAGTACGAGTCCATGTTTAATAGGGACGATGCATCCTGCAAGATAACCGTTCCATGTAATTGCCTGTAATTTTGCCCCTCGACGTTAAACGCGATTTCAATTCTCACGTTCGATATTTCAGTGCTGCTATTCACATCAATGCTATGCTATGCTAGTCACGTTTCCTGGTACATGTGTGTCTGCGCGCATCTATTTTCTTCACATCTATTGTGTGTGTGTGCACACACACACACACACATACACACACACACACATGTTAAAACGTGTACACAAAACGATTATTTATCAATTATTGAAGCGACTGCCGGTAGCAACGACGTTATGACGCAATCTTCTCTTTTGCTAGATTCATCGTCGCATAATGTGCACTCGTTTGCATTTACCTTGCTGTGACCTAACCAATTTTTTTTCTCTCGCAAATTAATCGAATTCTTCCGGCGCGCGATGTACGCGATAAATTAACGCGATATGCAGCTTGCTTCTTGTTAATAGCATAAAATTACTTATGCGAAAGCGGCGTCGTCGTCGTCGTCGTCGTCGTCGTCGTCGTCGTCGTCGTCGTCGTCGTCGTCGTCGTCGTCGTCGTCGTCGTCGTCGTCGTCGTCGTCGTCGTCGTCGTCGTCGTCGTCGTCGTCGTCGTCGTCGTCGTCGTCGTCGTCGTCGTCGTCGCGAGGGATTATAATTCCATAGGAATTCGGTTTATAACGGTTACATCTCGATTCATTCGCTCCTGCGGACCTAGTCTCCGCGCAATGTTTATCATCTAATTGCGCGCATAACCTGCACAAAGCTGCGGGGGCGCGCATCGTTACCGAAAGGGAAACGTCAGGAGCGGAGCGACGCTCCTTTGACTCTGAGAAACTGCGCTTTGATGCATTGCGCGCACGCGATTTGTACGATGAGATAAAATATTAATGGGAATGTTTGAAAGACTCCGCGATAAGGCGCAGAGGTGATTAACGGATAATCTCCAAGGATGAAATCGTTGCGGAAGATATTCGCGGACACGCGCGCCTCCCAAACAGCGACCGTGCCGGTCGCTTTCGACAGCTTTTCGCGTGCAAGCCGCTCAGAGGGCGCAGGGGGCGCAGCGTAAAACTGCAAAATAAAAACGGCAAAATAAAAGAAGAATACAATATAAACTGACGCGGCGGAAAAAATTCGGCGTACGCTTGCCGATGCACGCGCGTGCCGGCGCGCATTTTTTTACCGACAACGACCCCGAAACGGAATACAAGATGCACAAATGCACGGATGATGAAATCCGCGTATACGCGAAATACGTCGTTTGATCCTCCCTGCAGCGACGCGATACGTTGCGCGTGCTCCGGACGGATAAAGAGTGTGCCTGATTATTATATGTCAAATATAAATTCTCTCTCTCTCTCTCTCTCTCTCTCTCGCGTACGCGCGCGCGCGCGCGCGCGGATTAAGCCGCGAGTGCGCGTCGTTTCGAGCGATTTCGAGGACTTGTCACGAGAGACGTGGCGCGGCGCGGTGCGGTGCGGCGGGCGAGCGAGCACACACCAGTCTATGCCGGAGCTTCGGGCAATTTCGCGACACGCATGGAAAGTGGTCCAGCGAACCGATCGCAGCGAACGCATCGTCCGTAGTGGACGAGGCGAATCGGCGCTGATTGCGCCGTAATTTATTCATCGGTTCGATGATTGCGCCCTCGATCTGTTAATTATTCGTGAATAGACCGCGCGCGCGCGCGTGTGCGACATTACGCAACAACTGGTCCACGCGCGATTTGCGCCGCGGGAG